TTTGCGTATATCGCTCTCGCTATTTCTGCGAACTTCATCTGCCGAGATGAAGTTGAGGATCGAAGTTGGCAAGTTCCAAAGCGCGCGTGGAGGACTCAATTTCCCAACCTGAAGTCTCATTTTGAAATAACGACCTAACTAATTAAGCCCTCGCGCCCAAATATTCATGTAAAAACGCAATCGTTTGTGAAATAATAAAAACGAAGTATCTCCAAAAGATACAGCGCCGAACTTGCTCTATAGGAAGAAAAACTCCGATTCTTCTTGCAATAAGAAAAAAGAACAAAAATCGTCGCGTCGGCCTAAAGAAGAACGGTAAATATGTATAAAAACGGAGCACCCTCGGAGGTCATATGTTGTCAAGGACATCTCCCTGAACAACAATCTGAAGGTTTTAGCCGTCGCTCGTTGTTCGTTAAAAAATTATAAACAAAAGAAGTTGCGTTAAGGAACTGTTAATTTTCGACACCCTGTACATTTTGTTTGTGTTGTAAGCGTGTAGGCAGGGGGGGCTGCGCTCCCCCGCAGACGGAGAGTCTTCCCCTCTCCTCTCTTCTTCCCCCTAACAAAAAAATGAAGAATTCATTTAAGTGTCAAGAATTCAATTAATGTTCTACCAATGTCGCGAAACGTGGAATATGTATTACTTCGCATATCTCACCAAATTTTTTCGATGTTTTGCGTGTGACAATTAGTATGAGGATCTACGAAATGTTCTTTGTGATTTACTATATGGTGAATGTAACCGTGCATACTGATGTTGTTATATGCCTTCATTTTTTCGTGAAAGGGGAGTAGGGGGAGGCGCAACCTCCCCTGCCTATACGCTTACAACACAAACAAAATGTACACGGTGTCGGAAAATAAGAGATCATTTATGATATTTCTTTTGTTTATAATTTTTTAACAAACAACGAGCGACGGTTAAAAGTTGCAGATTGTTGTTTTCAGGAAGATGTCCTTGACAACATATGTTAATGTCATTGACCTCCGAGGGTGCTCCGTTTTTATACACATTTACCGCATCATCTCGTTTTCGATCGACTCACTCCATTTTTATTCGCCCGATTGCGATCGTTATCACTTGCTGATAGTTTGAGAGACTAATAGAATTTACAAAAACAATGGATAAGAGGAAAAAAAGAGACAGATATCACGAGTGATCATCGTCATTTGCTTCCTTGGAACCTGGAATTGGAGATTAGAGGAACTTACCAGAAATTACAACGCTTACGATCTCCGATTTGCGAGACTATGAAGGGAACGAAGGCTCGAATGATCGTCTTGTATAACCTCTAAAGAATCTTTATACGATGTAATGAAAGAAAAAAGACTGCTTGGCCTCGGACAATGCATCATCGACGCGCTTTCGTATACGATGATCAACTTATTATATGCATGCCGTTGCGTTCGATAAGAGCACTTTCCTACTTGAAAACGTCGAATTATCCTCAAAGGAAAACATTCGACCTGCTTCAAGATAACTGAAAATCTGAAGAAAAGAGATGAATTTTTTTTGAGTGGATCGACAATTCGATCGACGAGACCGTCTAAACTCGAACCAGAGTGTGAGAAAAGAAGGGAGATGAAAAAAAAAGAAAAGAGCACAGATTTATATAAAAGAAAAAGCAAAGGAAAAGAATCCTATTCCACACACATACCATTACATGTAATACATGCATTAACGAATAGAAAAAATTGATAGTCTATTGTGCTGCATACATATTTACATTAACGGAACATTAAATAAGTATGGGTGTGCATCTTAGATGTATTAGAGGACCTTTATCATTAATACACGCATTTAGTATTAATTAACAAAAACATCACGACGCGACGAGTGTGCGTGCGCGGGGGTGTGTAGAGGGATAGAAAAATTAATTTTGTATAAAATTTATAAACTACATTCAATGGGGAAAGAGAATGCACATATATCATCAATATACTGATCACCAATCTTCCAAAACGCGTAGATTTTATTATATTATTATACAAATGACCTCCAAAAACTTTTGCAGCGTTTTCTTGTTACATACAAATTACAATTGAAAATCTAATTCACGGATTAAAACGTTTGATTTACGAAACAAATAAAAACTCTATAGTCAATTAATTTAAAAAATTTTGACTTATACATTAAATATTTTGATCTATAAATTTTGACTTATAAATTATAAACAATTGAACTGAATAAATTACATGTTGTTTCTAGAAATTTTTAACAAGAAAATAGTGCTTTTGGACACGTAATGTTTTGTCGATAATGATTTCGAGTGTTTTATTTGACGTAAATATAGTTACATGTCTATATGATTGTATAATGGTAGATATTGTAGGCTATATTGTATTTTATGTGTGTGTGTGTGTGTGTGTGTGTGTGTGTGTGTGTGTGTGTGAGAGAGAGAGAGAGAGAGAGTGAATGTATATGTGTATGCGTGTGCGCGCACACCGTATCCCGATTGTCACTGTGTTTCAGTTGAGATTGATGCTGTTGTTACCGATTGTTAGCGAAATTTTTCACGCTTCTCACAAACAGGAAAAGTTCTTAGAAAAACAAAAATAAAAAAAAAATTTCTCCCTCGTTTCACCCCCTTTTCCTTCCGCCTCCCCCTCCAAATAATCCGGAAAGTATACTGGGAGCGAAAGCATTCTGATTTCACATTTGTATGTTTCACACGACGTGATTCGATTGAGAATGCAGTACTCGAATAAATGGAAAAAAACAACATAAATTGTAGGTATGTATGATTTTTAAGACAATTGTGAAGAATATATTGTAGTTATTTTATCGTTGTATTATGTGTTATATTTATATCTCTTGAAAGAGTATATACCACGTATATACAACAATAATAATTATAATAACAGATCGACTAGTGTATTTCGAATCCGACTGACAACAATTAAAGAATTAAACTGCGCTGACACACTTGCGTATACGCGCGTCTCTGTCTCTTTATCATCCCTCCCGTCCTTTTTATTCACACACACACACACACGCGCGCGCGCGCGCACGCAGTTTTTGAAAGCATATTAAATAAAAGTAAAAAAAGATTATATTTTCTTTCGTCTTTGTATTTTATTTTTATATTTTCTGGACACACACGTTTATATTAATTAAACAGTGATAATAAACGACGAACACACACAAAAGTGTGAGATTTCTAAATTGCTAAATTAAAGCTTTCCCCCATAAAACATATCTAAAAATCGCTCCGAAGAATTGTGTTTAACTTCTCGCCGAACAAAACAAAAAAAAATATCGAACCGAAGAATCGTAGTTTAAGAAATTAAACGTTCGCGGGTCTCTCGTGTAATCACATTTTTGACTTTTGTCTCTGTGATTGCAATTTTATTGCGTGTGCTCGCCGGTGCACTCTCCCGTCGATAACGAGATTCGCGGGTAAATCGCCAATCCTCGCGTATAATAGAAGAAAAAAAAGTATCATAAGAACGGACGTGCGGTTGTGTTCGGTCGTATTTCACAAAAGACGGAACCGTAACAGAAACAGAACGAAATCGGTTTGCCGCGTTCAGACTAATTGTTAATTAAGACGTGGATTGCCGTGCGAATTGACAATTTGCAATTGTAAAATCCAGTTCTCTCTCGCGCACGTGTAATCTCTTTCTTTCTCTCGCATTTGAATCCTCGCTCAGCCGTTTCCAATCGCATTGGAAATTGTTTCGCAAGTTCTGTCTCCGTGCGCGGAAAAACGAATTTCGGAAGAAACTTTCATCGAAGTGCAGCTGACCAAATAGATGGATCCCTACATGTAGTGTATCGTCAAGTCGAAACTTTCTAAATGAAGTGAGACAAAGCAAGTAATTACTTTTATTTAAAGTATTACGCGTTGCAAGTCAGTCAGTATTTGCACATCTTTCTTTGTGAAACGTAAAGTTGAGCAAAAACGACTTTTGAAGGGATCGTTTTGTCAAATAAATTTTTTTTGTTTTTTGGTTTTTTTTTTTGAAGAATATCCGCAATTTCTTCCGAGCAATAGGAGAGTTTTCTACAGCATCAGGGAGCTGGCCAAGTATAAGAAATAATATGAAGTAGGTCGATCGTATTTTAAGTCGGCGAAGTCTATACACTTCGATGAACAGCGCCAGCTGCACCCCGAGATAAGCAACGTCACCTACCCTCGTTATATTCTTCATGAAATAGAAGCGTAGTATACTCTCCAGTATAGTTCTTTCGCCATTTACCTTATAATTCTCTCACATTTAATAGTTTTTTCTCTTTGCTTTCATTTCGGAAAACAAAATCACTTAGACTTACAAAAAGTACGAACGAAACAGCACACGCTCTGTTTTTCTCAGTAAATTTACTTTTATTTTCTTATACGTTACTAAACAGTTTCTAATAAATTATTTAAAAACTGTTTTCTATTTAAATGTTATTATTTTTCAAGCTGTCTAAGAGTTTCTTCTTGCACTGAGAAAAATTGCTTAGTTTCGAAAAAAGTTCCTTTTATGATGCGAAAGAAAAATCAAATGAAGAAAAAACAGGTTAAATATTCGCGAAATAGTCCCGCTCTCTATAAAACAGATTCGATCGAAACCAATCAGTGGCTCGTATCGTGAGCGCTGGTTCTCATTTCACACCCGCGTGAACAAATCACTCGCTGCTGATTCACTTCCCAGGCAGTTGCGGGGGAAAAACCATTGGCTTACTAGAGCAGCAGCTAAGGATCCTCTCGCAGTTTCACGTTGGACACCAGAATCACACACAGCTTTTCCGGAATACATAATAATCGTCGTTGTTGAAATTGCGCGAAAAACACGAATTCTCTTATATTTCGCGTAACAAACATCGTGTAATACCATTTAATATTTAGCACAAATTTGTAGAAATCCGATCTAACTTTGTTTTATTACATAAAAGTTGAACATTAACTCACTTTTTAAACATTTAAATTGATGTTTATTAAAATTATCAATTATATTTATTAGAAAAAAATTACAAACCTTCTATAAAAACATAATTACGTAAACTTGGTGTTATAACTCGTGTGATTAAAGAAATTTTTAATCTGAATTTCTGTCATGATAAATACGAATGACAACGCGATCATCACGGATAATCCCAAGAAATCTGTCGACCTTGCAAAGAAGGAATTGAGCGCAATATTAGAAAAATTAGACAGCTTAAGGCTTCCGGTTAAAGCTTGGCGATTGCATTGCACTCGTTCGCGATTAAAGCCGACAAAACCAACGAAAGTTCACGTGAGGTACTTGTGGATCTTTCTAATTTTGCTGATTGGTACGTGGACGATGATAATGCAAGTTTGGAATTACGTGCAGACGTATCGCTACAACAAGGTAAATAAACCATTTACATTTTATCCGCAGATATGTTATTTTTCTTTTTTCTAATTAAAACATTTATCTGTCAAAACTTTATTTCAAGTGTGTTTTTGAATAATTTTTAATGAAATTTAATTAAATCAAATAATGAACACTGAATAATGATTACTGAATTTATATTTTTAAACGAGAAAATCGATTAACAGATAATTTCTATTATACGATTTTGTTAAAACTTAAGAATTTGTTTAATATAATGGAGACGATAATGGAAAGAAATCATTGTTTTTTAGTGCTTGGTAACGATGCCGTCGTTTATGCATCAAGTTTTTCGACCATCGGAAGACTGCTCAGTTTGCCAGGACGTTCAACAGGTTGAAAAGCTCTCCGCTGTTGATCCGGCAATCTTCGAACAACGGTACTAATACATAGCTTGTATATTCAATAATTTATGCATGTATTTTCTCACTTTTAAAAACATCCATCTTGATAACTACATAATATATATGTTTTTTCTCCATTAATTAATTTAATTGTGGCATATTTTATTTTTATGCAACATTTGTTTGTTATTAACATCGTTATTTTGTTTTTGTTAAAAAACGACTTGCTTATTCACATACACACAGTAAATAATTGTGCATCCATATGTTAAAATAAGGTAACAAGTTTTTGTTATCTCGTTTTGTTATTACTTTAATCAAAAATTAACAACATGCGTTATAAGATTTATTATAATTTTATAATTTAACATTTTTTATATGTCATTTAAAATAGAATATTTATTTTATCATTAAAATAGAATAATATTTATTTTATCATTAAAATAGAATATTTTATTTTGATTGCTTTTAATACAAATTATTACAATTAATCTGCATGTCTCAAAGTCAATTTAACCATTCCAAGAAAAGTTAAAGTAAATCTTAAAATAATCACGAACTCTGATACACAAAATAATAATCAAATGTACTAAAATCAAAGTTAAAATAATTGTTATCATGTGTTAATATAATTGTTATTATGTGTTAATTTATCACAAAAAGTATGTTTTTTTAAGTACATTTCTTATACGAGTTATTAACTACTTTTCTGTGTAGTTTTTAATTATTTCATATGTTATTTTTATATCACACTTAAAGTCAAAATAAGAAATATAAAACTAATAATATATGAATATAGGGACATGAAGAGCCGTTCGCAGGATGTTGTGCGTGAATGTGCTTTTTAAATATATATATACGTATACACATATATACTTCGAAATAATTTTTTTCTTTCATATAGGATGCCGGATTTGCATCACATATATATGAAGGACCCCGTATACCCCCCTAACTAATTTTTAAAATATTGCGAAAAATATTTCCTTTTGGCTGAGGAGTTTTTTTCGCAATATTTTAAAAATTAGTTAGGGGGGTATACGGGGTCCTTCATATATATGTGATACAAATCCAGCATTCTATATGGAGGAAAAAAATTATTTCGAAGTATATATGTGTATACATATATAGATATATTTAAAAAGCACATTCACGCACAACATCCTGCGAACGGCTCTTCATGTGTCCCTATATTCATATATTATTAGTTTAATAAGACTTATAGAGCCTGAGAGTAATCTCGATTTACCACTAATTGTTAAGAAATATAAATGTATTGTGTCAATTACTTAACATTGTAACACATGACAAATGAGGTAATTTTTACATTTTTTACATGTCTCAGAAAGTTCAAACTCAAATTAAAATTAACATTTTCTGTTTTACTGTGTATAAAAAAATTTTTTTTGAAAATAAAGTAAAATTAAAATTCTCTCAAAAAACACTTTTTTTTATTAATAATTTGTTTTTATTTATTAATAATTTGTATTTATTTATTAATAATTTGTATTTATTTATTTAATTTTGTCTTTGCATGACTGACTATTCCGATATCACCTGCCTACGAGTGCACTTTATTTGTAATCAGCTACGCGTATTCAGGGAAGCCGGTGGTGATAAACGACGCCATGGCAAACTGGACGGCGCCTGAAGTATTCTCTTTCTCATTTTTCAAAACGTTGTATCATAGCGAGATGGCGAATTGCCAATTTTTCCCGTACGAGACGGATTTTCAGAATCTGCAGGATGTCTTCGATATGAGCGCGAATCGGGCCATGATGGAGAAGGGCACTAAACCGTGGTACGTTGGATGGTAAGTTCTCGATTGTTTAAATTTATTTATTTATTTTTTTTTTGGAGAAGATAAAACAAAAAAACCTTGAAGTTGCTCTCAACTTTATAATATGAAATTTAATATTAAAATTGTATTAATTACAACAAAATATCGTAGATAATGCTACTTTGCATGCAGTAGATAATGCTTCATACTCGATTTTTACCTTAATCGTAGCAAGAAACTTTACTTATTTACTTCAGTCTGCGAGTAGCAGGGCGCATTTTTATGGCTTCCGACACTTCCTTGAGTCTTTGATGCATGCACACGTAGGCGATTTCGCTAACAGACTTACAGAGAAACCACGTTTGCGACGTCATAAATGTGACGAACGCAAAACTCGCGCATTATTACAAAACAAAAAAATTGGCAGTAAATAATTAAATGTATCAATATCTCATGACAAGGAAACATTTAGTCGATCGGAGAAGAAAAATGTTTTTTATATCTCATTGTATTATCTTCGTCTTTTTATTCAGGAGCAACTGTGACGACAAAATCGGCGCGATATTGAGGGAGCATTATCAAAGACCGTATTTTCTCCCTCCTAATTCTGAGAGCGAAAAGACAGATTGGATTTTCATGGGTAGCCACGGTTATGGTGCACCTATGCATGTAAGTCGTGATTCTTGTTTTAGCAGATATTAATCGTTAATGAAAATTAATTAATGGAAAATGGCATGTGTAAATATTATTTTCAAGATAATTAAATTTTTTAATACTTTTTTTACAATTTATAAAACATACATATCTATGTACTCCGTAGATGGACAACATCACATTAATCGTGTATCTTGAAAATGTGAAATTTTTCAAGGTGGATGACGTACGGTATCCTTCCTGGCAAGCGCAGATAAAGGGTGAAAAATTGTGGATTTTGGAACCGCCCAGAGAATGTCACTACACATGCAAGAAGTTGGAAATAATTGTATATCCCGGAGAAATAAGTGAGCTGCTCTTATAAACATGACCGAATTAATCGGGAAATTAAACGCTTTTCAATAAAGTGACAAAGATCCGATTGCAAATCATTAATTATTTTAATTTTTTTATTTCAGTTGTATTAGACACAAATCGATGGTATCATCAAACAAAAATCGTCTCCGAGGACATGAGCATTACTATTGGTGCTGAGTACGATTGAAAGTAAAACAACATTAAAAATAAGTTAATTTAATTATATAATTAATACAATACAATAGTCACTTCATTCTATAATATTGACAACTAATAAATTATGTGAAGTAAAAATAAACTTAAAAATATCCAATAATATAAAGATTAAAAACAAAATATGTTGTAGATATTTAGGAAGATAAATTATGTTATATTATTTATATTATAAATTATGTCTTTATTAATTGTTCAATAAATTATGTTCTTTTTATCTTCTACCATTAATTAGATAACACAGACATCGACTTATTGTTAGCCGAGATAAACCGTATCCTCGCTGCTTGAGCGATCATAGTTTGTAAGTCGTGACGTATAGTCACGGTCGTGGTCGCGTACTAAGTTTTTACGGTACTATATATGCGTGCATGCTAATCACATACGTTTGCACGACCCAAAAAAAGCGAGGAGAAACGGCCTCACGCACGGCACGGGCCCCTCATGCAGATGGCGAACAAGCCAAGCCGGGAGTCGCACCTGGCGGCAGGTGAGCTCCTCGCTGCTGTGGGGGCCACTATTACGAGCGGGAACTACTCCCCTGTCGGTGTTCTGAAGTACATGCGATCATATGTTGGCCACTGGCTGACAAACGTTAAAGGGAGAAAGAGAAGAAACAAGAGAACCCAATGAAGAAACCGATCAACTGCTTCTTCGTCGACCTGGTGATTCACAGTTGTCCTGCAGGAAGATCGCTGCGAAGGTTTTGTAGTGTTTCTTTCAAACGGTAATTTGCTCTTGAAATGAACAAGAAAAATAAATAAATAAATACAAACAATATCTTGAATCCACTCGTTGTTATATTACATAGATGTAATATTTTACGAATTGTATAATATTCTTCTTAAGTGGAGTTGTAAAAAAATACTGCAAAAATATTTGACAGTGAAACTAAAAGTTAAAACATTCACATTAAACAGACTTTAGGATTTAGAACGTAGACAAGCGTGAAAAGTTAATGTTAGCTAGACGATTTTATTAATAATACTAATCGATTAGTCTTCATATCGTTAATAGATATCAGAATGTGATGGGGATGGCGGAGAGATAACATCTCTCTTGTGTTGTAAAAAACACACTACTTGATTTTGAATTTAATTTCATAAAACACACATAATAATAATTACGCTTATATATGATTACTAAAGCAAACTAAATATGCTTGATTTAAAAAAAAAAAGAACAAATAAAATAAAGATAAATAAAGATAAATATTGAATTACTTTTTCAAATTATTACATAAACTTGTAAATCTCTTTTGACTTTTTTTATTTTCTTTTTCTTAATTTACTTCTATTGTTTAAATTTAATTATAAAAAAACACAGTCAAATTGTTAATTATTATTATTATATAACAAATAAAAAACACATGAGAAATAAAATTATATATAATTTATACACACAAGAAAAAGGGGAATATCTCACGGTAAAAAAATAGTTAATTACAAAACATGTAATCATTCTGGAAGAAAAATAAACTATCATCTTCCCTTTTTATCATAGCGTGAACCTTGTTCTTCGTACTTATAACTATGAAAGTGACTATTAAGAATTCTGAAAATTACAGGAGAAAAAGGAAGAAAGATAGGAGAGAGAGAGAGAGAGAGAGAGAGAGAGAGAGAGAGAGAGAGAGAGAGAGAGACTTTGACATCTCTGATGTATCAATACCTATGTATTACATGTATATGCTGTTCCAGTTACGCCAATGAGAGAGTACGTCTGTATGTCGTTTGCGTTAATTACGCGGAGTAGCATATCTCCACTTTCCTGTCTGATCTGACGACTGCGATCTACAAATGTTTGCAGCAGTCGTGGTAATAGCTAATATCGGTCAAGAAAAGAGAGTGAGAGAGAGAGAGAGAGAGAGAGAGAGAGAATCTATAAAGATCGAATGCAAGTAATTCGCTAATGTAAGTCGCTAGAGCAGTTTTCAATTTTAAAGTAGCTTTTTATATTAATTTTATTCGGTTTGAATTATATATGTACGGCGATTTTTTGTCGCGCTACATTTATATACATTACTTATAGCAATCTTTTCGTGTTCCAACCGACTTTATAGAGTCCCATAATGCTAGCATAATATTATGCACGGAGTGAACGATGAAATAATTATAGATATCGATTTCTAAAAGAAGTACGACGCAACAACGACGCATCGGCGTTCTACGTTTGATAAATATAAAAAGCGACGCGTTATATTGTTTAATAAAACATCATTTAATTTGCAAGAGTAATCGAAATTTGCGTTAATTCGACGGCATAATAATAAGTTGCTGAGTTCTTTTTTTTATCATATATCGTAATCATTCAATTGGTCCCGCATTCTCTCCCTCTCTTTCTTTGTCTTGTCTGTCTGTCTGTCTGTCTGTCTCTCTCTCTCTTTCTTTCTCTCTCTCTCTCTTGAAGAAGAAAACTGATACATCGACTATAGATTCATTAATTCGCAAAACTTATGCGACCTTGTGGTGATTTTTTGAAGAATCAAATTTCACCATATTGGTAATTATTCCGGGATAGATTTCACACTTCTGCAAAAAATCTCGCTGTTGTTGCTACGTGGTTTCTTTCCGATCTAAATGGATCGCATTATCAAAACGAACAGAACAGAATTATTTATGAATAGATCCCGCGATATTGCAGTAGCTGTCATTTATAATCCACAATAACATTTCGCATTTTCAGTGTTCCGTTTTTTTGTGAGTGACTATACTCCTACAGCGTACAGTCAGTTAAATTAAATATCACATGTGTGAATCCGGTTAAGAAATAAATACTACTACTCTATTTGCGAGAATTTTGTCGACAGTTTATCTTTAAACGAAAACGATGTGTTCGCGATCGCGCTCTTTTTGGCGCGTTGACAACCGTTCGAATTCCATGATAGCGGCGAGTCTCGACGAGTTGCAACAATAAGTCAAACGATTGCGCCAGAAAGTCGATGTCATTGTCGAAGCCTACGCAACGTCGCCGCGCGGCTGGCCGTTCATCGATTTCACGCGCGTGAATTCGTGCGAGACGCGCGCGTGCGTGCGCGCACATACTTACGCGATCGCCCGTTCACACGCGAACGCGTCTTGTACGTGCAAGAGGGTTGCGCGCGCGTACGTGCACAGCCTGGCTACGTACATATCGGTCGCCGCTATCGATTATTTTACCCATGTGGAACTTACCTCCCCTCGCCGCGCGAGCATCCCGCTGTTACTCCTCTGCCTCTCCCACTACCTGCGGCGTCGCGACGCCTCGTATAGAGCGCGATATCGACGTTACATCGGCGCTCTTCATCCTTCCACTCCTCTCTCCTCGTCGGCAACGGGAAATCCCCACTTCTAGCGTAGAAGAACTTACCCTCAGGGTCGTAAAATTTGGACACATTACGAACCCCTAACATTGCTAATATCAGAATAAAGAAACGCACGATTATCAAAAAAAAAAAATTCTTTCAAAGCTAAATTTATTTTTCATAAAATGTAAAATAAAATTTGACGCGTACAATGTAAATTTTGTTTTTTATATATAAAGTGTGTATATAATTTATGAAGTTCGCAATATGTTGAAACAAATGAGTTTAATTACAAAAATGATTGAAAACTTGCATATTTTCATGTATTGAGACAAAAAAATTACAATTATTATATATCGATAAAAAATATTAAAACCTGAAATAGATTTCACAAAATAAAAAGCAGCTAAATTTGCGGGGAATATTATTCGATGCGAGTAATACGCCATCCTTTTTGAATATTTATTTTTCCGTGTTGGAATAATCTCTTCACGGCGCTTTAATCACGCGGCGAATTTATTCGCTTGCGTTTTAATCCTCCCGCGTTTCTTTCCGTTCGACCGCGGTGTATATAACGTGTCGATATCGATTTTACTTCGTTGGTAGATTTCGTTTGAGAAGTATTCTCAAGATCAATTCTTTCTTTCTTACCCATAACCTCGTCGTATTCTCTATCGCGCTTGAGCTTATCTCAATTTCAAAAACAGCGCGCGTTCTATCGAAATTTTATCAGATCGCAACGATACTACGTTTCGTAGAACACTCAATCGCGCGATCGATTAATTCACTCTGACTTTGTAGTTTTCTGCGCATGTCAATTTTAATCGTTTTTATCAATAAGAAATCGCGCTGCTCTATTTCATGCGCTCTCTCTCTCTCTCTCTCTCTTCGATATTTATTTCTTTCAATACAAAAATTTTGTGTGTACCTAAATCTAACAAAACAAAAAAACTAAAACTGTCTTTCTTTTAATTTAGCTGAAAAAAGTTCGGCCGCGCGCGAGAAATCCAAAGTGCTCTGACGAAGTTTCATTTTTGCAACGGATGCTGCGAGTGTGGAATTAGCTTCGCGGTCGGGTCACTTGTATAATATTGTAATTGTGAATAAATTGAATTGTAAATGGTTGCTTCGCGACCATCGAGCTACACCGTATCACATTTAGCACGCGCACTTCCTCTCCTCGCGCGATCGAACGGACAGAACATAAGTCTCCTTGTTTCAAAGTGCTATACTCCTTGGCAACTACTTAGCAAACAGTCCGAAGCACATACGCGGCTGCTACTATCGTGCCGGCGTAATTTCAGTGTGCCCGCGACTTCATCAATGACTTACTATACACAGTTTTAGATTCCATCCCTTAAAAGGGTATATCCGCATTATTTACGCTTGTTGATGTCTCCACGATGAGAAGACGCATTAATTTCAAGCGGGGAATTGTTGAATATGTAATCGATATCTCAATCAATAATTAACGCAATCATTTTGTCTTAAGAACAAGATACAACTCGGAAAAAGAGATAGTAGTTGCGGAAACAAAAGTTCAAAGATCAACAAGCTGCTTATATGCAAATTTTAGTTTTTATAAATATATCTCTGTGTGTTTTCTGATACGTTAGTCGGAGAGAAATACGCGTTCTTGAACAAAAAATCATTGAACGATATCGATCTTTTGTTTATAATTTTTGAGCGAGCCAGACTGACCGAAACACTAAGAGAAAAAGATTCGTTTAGTAGAAAAAAACACAGCGGCGTAATAAGCGCGCCAATCAATTGCCGAGTCGATACCACGGTAACAATATGAGTGTAACA